GGGGGGGGGGGGGGGGGGGGGGGGGGGGGCAGCACAAGGTTTGTGCGACTCGATCCGGAGGACTCCCAGAGCAGGCCTTCCACGCACTCGGAGTGCTGGGTGGCCCAGCCGCCAACAAAATGCGCTGCTCGGCACAGTGCTTCCCTTCCTGGACATTCAGTCCACGGGCTCCGCCTGCGCGCGAACAGGCGCATGCCGGCAGTGATGCGGCTGCAGAAACAGCAAGGGCTATTTGGGGCTGCATTAATGGAAGTGGCGCTTCCCGATTCCAGGAAGTGCCAGTACTGGTTCCCTCTCCTCGGCCCTGGTGAGGCTTCGTCGGAATCCCGGGTCCAGTTCTGGGCACCACAGAGGAAGAAAGCTGCAGGGAAGCTGGGAAGGGTTCGGAGGAGGGCGACAGGAACGATCCGGGGACTGGAAACGAAGCCCCGTGAGGAGAGAGAAAGAATCAGGCACGTTTGGCCTCGAGAGGAGATGACTGAGAGGAGATACAAGTCCTTGAAGGGCTGTCAAAGACAAGGACAGGATCTCTCCCTTCCCAGCCCGGAGTTAAGGACCTGGAATAACCTGCTCAAGTTCCAGGAAGCCAAGTTCTGGCTGGACATCAGGGAAAATTTCCTGCCCTTCATCTGGGAAGGTCAGGCCCAGGGCTCGGGTAAAGGCCGTTTTGGAGGACTGTTCCTACGTGCCGTGGCAGGAAGCGTCTTCCCAGGAGGAAGGCAAACGCCCTGAGGAACCTGCATCTCTTACGCAAGCTAGAAACTTCGGAGTGCTTTTGCTTTCTGAAACGGCCACATGTGCAAATACGTCCCGACCACAACGTGTCACAGCCTGGTGTGTTGTGTGCTCTGAAGGGGAGCTTTCGGTTCCCCCTTGGGCCCCAGCGCATGCACGGGGGTTTCCTTCTTCCCCCAGAATACCAGACCCCACCCAGTGGGACAGACTGGGGGAGCCATCAACCCTCGGAGTGCCTTGCGGGAGGAAACGGTTGCCACCACGGACTCGCACCTTGCCGCTGCGAGATGCGGCCAAGGACGTGGCGGCATGAGGGAGCTGCAGCGCTGGGGGGGACCCTCTGGGGGCCACACCCAGCCCCCTTCAGGCTTCGACTCGGCCCGTCCTGGGTGCCCCCCTGCCCCCGGCGGTTTTCTGGCAGGGGCGTTCCTCATTCCCAGAGGCAGAAATGCCCCTTCCGAGGCCGGAGAACTTGGGGGGGGGGGGATTGTTGCCCCGCCGCTTTTGCCTAGGGCCTCCCCCCCACCAGAAAGGTGCTTCCGTGAGCTGCCCAGTGTGGCCACAAGAGGCTCAGCACCCCCGGTTCATGAGCCGGGACGAGTCTCGGAGGAAGGCGGCTCGGGGCACGCTCGGTCCTCCCAAAGCCGGAGGATGGAGCACGCGCCTGGGGAGGCGGCCACGGCCCCCACTGCCTGCCTCCGCGCCTGGGCCAGGGGGTGCGGCAGGCAGGCAGGCAGCAGGCAGGCAGTCTGCAGGGGGGGGGGGCACATCGGGCACCTGCTCTGCCCCAGAGGCCCGCCCCGCCCCGCCCCGCCCCGCCCCACCCCGCCCCGCGGCACCTTCTGGAATGTGAAGACGAGGTGGCCCTCCGGGAAACGCAGCGTCAGGCTGGACGTCCTGTTGGAGCAGCTCCCCGAGTGGTCGGTGTGGCCGGCCGGCACGGTGAAGGAGCCCCAGAGCTGCACGGAGGAAACGGCGGGTGGGCCGGAGGAAGGCGGGGAAGGGGCCACGGCACACGCGGCCCGGATGCCCCCGCGGCCGGCACTCGGCCAGGATGCCCGCGTCCACGACGAGCTCCTTGCCCCCGCGCAGCACGTCCAGCTTCCTCTGTGCCCCCCACTTCCCTCCCGGGGAATCGGGGCGTCGGGCTGGCTGGCCGCTCTTCTCCGCTCGCTCTTGCTCCTCCGGAGAACCGGCCAGATGCCTGCCCTGCCTGCCAAGCTTTTCAAAGTGCGAGGAGGAAAGGACCTCTGCTGGCTGAGGGTGACGGGGGTTGCAGTCCAGCACGGTGGTCCCGGGGAAGCGCTTGCCGCCCCACTCCCCCCGCACCCGAAGAGGAGGAAGTCATGCGGCCGAACCGCACGTGCCACGTGCGCCCGTGAGAAAGGGCCGAGCCACGGGCACCCCGTCCCCACGCAGGGGGCCCCGATGGAGAGCGGGGGAGAGGGAGCCGGGCGCTGCGAGTCGCCCAGCCCCGGCCGGCCGCCCCTCCCCAGCCCCGCCGCCCGGCCGCCCCCCGGAGCCGCCCCTCCTCCCGGACCCCTGCTTGCGGCCCCCCGCGGTGCGGGCTCCCGCTGCCCTGGGCAGGGGCCCGGCGCGCTCTCACCTGGCGCTTCCCGGCGCCCACGTAGCGCACCTGGAGCCGCAGGCCGGCTTGCACCCGCAGGCACACGGCCGGGCCCTCCCGGACCTCGTAGTCCCCGACGGGTGTGGGCGTAGGGGCTGTGCTGTGGCTGGTGGGGGCGGCGGTGGGGCGGGAGGTGGTCGGGGCATGGGCCGTGGTGTGCGGGGGGTGGGGGGTGGAGTGGTGGGGGGCCGTGGTGCGGCTTCCATGGTGTGCGGTGGTGTGTGGGGGGGTG